GCTTGAGCCCAGGAGTTTGAGGTTGCTGTGAGCTAGGCTGATGCCACGGCACTCTAGCCCGGGCAACAAATTGAGACTCTGTCTCAAAAAAAATTAAAAAAATAAATAAAAAGTCTTGTAAGATCTCTGTAACTCTACTACCTTTCCCATAGCCACTGGTAGCTCATCTGATCTAGCCAGGAAGCTTGGACCACAGGAGTCTAGCCTCAGGAAGGAAGACTTTTTATACATTTTCTTGTATGGTACTTAAAATCCCATGTTGATGTTTTAACACATTTCATTATGGTTGTTTCTTAAGCAATTTTTTCCACAGACATTGTCAAACATTTTACTAAAAGCTTCTTGGTGGTTTGTGGTCTAGAATAGGGGTCAAAAAACTATTGCCAGCCGGCTAGCCAGCCTGTTTTTATTGGAATATAGCCATGCCCATTCATTTACGTATTGTCTATGGCCGCTTTTATGTGACAGTGGCAGAGCTGCACAGACACTGTATGGCCTACAAGCCTTAAATATTTATTAAAGCAAACACAAATCCTGATACTTTCCAGCGTAATTCACCACACTTTTCTGTTTAGGTGTCTTTGAAATTTCATTTGGGAAAGGAGAATCACACAGTATGTTTTTGTTTCATAATGTACACTCTCAGATGGCAGTTAAGCAGGGAAACCAACTGCAGATGCAAGTCCATGAAGGGCGTCATGTCGCTGATGAAGCCCCAGCCCCCGTTATGGCAGAAAAACGACTCGCTGCCAGGGCAGGGAAGAAGCCACTTGCACATTACTCTTCACTGGTGAGAGTCTTGGGATCAGACATGAAGACCCCAGAGGAGCCTGCAGCACAGGTATGAAGGGCATGAACTAGTCTATCCAGTTTTCTAACCTTAAGTCCCATTGTTATTGACCAAGGATTTGTGTATTCATCAAAGATTTGGGAGTTATTGTGACAACCCGTGTCTTTGACTTTTTAAAACTGGTAACAGTGGTTTACTTCTGTAGAAGGGGGAGCAGGGTGGGATAGAGACTTTGTTTTTCTTTAATACTCCTTCATACCGTGACTTTTTAAACCATATGCCTATATAATTTGACAAAAGAACCTCAATACATTTCTGGAAAATTATTTTAAATAGAAGGAAAAAGTAATATCCAGCATCTTGGATTGTGTTTTCTCCCAGTTGTTTCCACTTGCTCCGTGTGACACAGACCAGCCTCAAGACAAGCCCCCTGACTGGTTCACAAGCTACCTAGAGACAGTGAGTGTCCTCTCTGGCTTGGGTTTTAGCAGCAGTGTTGGCACGGGAGGAATGTGGAAGAAATAGAAAGCTGCTGCTCTGGTGCAGGTGAATGAAGAGCGGTAGCAAAGAATTTCTAAACTTACAGCAGTGCTAGTCAAGAAAGCGCTAACCTTTGCAATGAGGTACCAGGAAAGGAGGAGTCTAACTCTAGGTATGTAAGAGAGAGGGACAAATCTCTGTGCTTGGGAAGAAAGAAGTTAAAATTTTATGCATCAAAAGGATTTCTTACTATTTTCTTTAAACCAGTTTAACTGTGGAATAGACCTTTTGCTATGTTGCCGTCCATTTATTCAGTAGCTATTGTTTGTTTTTATGTTATAGCAGAGACAGTGAAGTTTCAGATCTAATGATATCTTCACTCATTTTCCCACTATTGGAACTGACTTTTTCCCCCACCTTGTGTTCTGTATTCCAGTTCAGAGAGCAAGTGGTTAAAGAAACAGTTGAAAAGCTTGAACAGAAATTACATGAGAAGCTTGTCCTCCAGAACCCATCCTTGGGTTCTTGTCCCTCAGAAGTCTCAATGCCTATTTCAGAGGAAACACTGTTTTGGCCAGAAAACCAGTTCAGCTGGCATATTGCTTGCAGCAACTGCCAAAGAAGAATTGTTGGTGTGCGCTACCAGTGTAGGTAAGCATCACTTGGGGATAGGTTGCTATCGGTAGACTTTAGAGCAGTTACTTTCCTGGCATTCTGAATAGTAAAGGGAAATTTGGTACTCTGTCACTGAGCATTAGACGTAGTAACTCTGAGTTGGAAGCACAAGCTAGTCTTCACCAACGTGCTCCGTGGGTTGAGGGAAACTATTCAGATTGTTATATTCAGATATACATTTGGATGAACAGAGCCAGGCAAAATTTTATTCCCCTAAACAAAATCAGATCACTGGCCAGGCGCAGTGGCTCACGCCTGTAATCCTAGCTCTCTGGGAGGCTGAGGCGGGCGGATTGTTTGAGCTCAGGAGTTCGAAACCAGTCTGA